AATCAATAAAATATGTTTTAAAAAATTCTGCACATATGATTTAGTGTAATTACAATGAGTCAGTATCATACTGACTCCTATATATAATACTCATGTTTTAGAATTTTGAATCAGGTTTATCAATTATAAAAGACCTACTATTTTCTGGTATTTATTTTTTAAAATATAAGTAAAAGAAAAAAAGCACAGACCTTGTGGAATATAACAGCATCAGAGCAATTTACTTCATGATTGTAGGTTGGGTGGTACAGGGTTATATACTGTATATTCTCAGATTACTCTTCTGGGATTGGCTAATCAAAGTTAGGAAATAAAACAGTCAGGATTTGGTGAGGCTTAAGGAGATGTGGGTTTGTGGACATGCACTTCCTCTGCTCCCTGAACCCCGGGAGCTCCAAATGAAACAGGAGAATGGACAGAGGTCAATGAACTGCAACAGGAAACTCTGCCAACAATGCAGCTATAAGACAAAAAAACAAGGTATCACAGGTTTTGACAACCATGACCACTGAGAAAAAAGTTGGGATTTAAAAAGTCAAGAGGCCATAAAGAAGCATTAGGGGAGGTTCAGTAGAAAACCAAAGCCCAAGCCAACACCCTGTGTGTGTGTTCAGGGAGGTCAAATAGAGAATGGGTGGTTATGATACGAATCAGTGGGTGCTCATGACACTTTCTGGGATGATCCACCAGCATTTTGGGTGCCTTTTCAGACATCACTTCATCTCTTTGAACTTGAATGTCTTCATTTACTAAAAAATGTTACAGCAATAGCTACTACTTTAGTACGTTTTTTCAAAGATTAAATTAAAGGTATTTTTTAAAATCTTCATAACTGAAATTATTACATATATTCCTTTTTTTGCCCCAGTGATCCCCACTCCAGACCCTCCCCATCCTATTGTCTGTGTCCACAGGTTATGCAAGGTCTTTGGTTGATTACCTCTCACCCACCCACCCTCCTCCACCAGCCAAAAAAAAAAAGTGAACTTAGCCACTTTTTCTTTGAGAGTGTTGGTGGCACTTATATAATTGGGAGAATCACTCTCTACTGCCTTCTATTTATAACTCCTGGGAAACAGATAATGGTAAAAAATTGAACATGTTAATGGTCTCCCTAAGTTTCTACCTTTACATTATGCTGTTCAAACAATAAATGATCAAATTATTTGAATTCTTCTGTAAAATAAAATGGAAAGTATCTGTGCTTTCTAACAATATTTGCAATAGAAATGGGAAGAAGAAGAGCATTGTGAGAGTGGATAGAAATAAAATAACAGATAAGGGAGAGTGAGAGACCTGAGCAACATGGAGTGTGTGTGTGTGTGTGTGTGTGTGTGTGTGTGTGTATGTGCGTCTGGTTGGTGTAGGGGAAGTACCGGGAATAAAGACAGCAGAGGTAAATCCTATTGTCAGGAATAGCCATAAAACACTTAACAATATATGTGCCTTACAGTACTAATAAGTGTCACTGACCTAGTTGTATCAGGTGTTGCAATAATCCTTCACTTTATTATGTCAACATTGGAGGATGTGTTGTGTAACTACATAAGCAACAACATTCCCCCTGGGAGGGATAGCTTCTAAGTTTGTGTCATCAGGACAGAGACCAGCACCAGTAGGCAAGTAATACATTAGGTTGAGAAAATAAGAAGGCAAATCTATTAGACAAGAGCTAATGAATCAGTGAAGGGTGTAAGATAAAAAGCTCATGGACACAGACAACTGTATGGTGATTATCAGAGGGAATGCAGGGGGTGGTGTGGGGAACAGTGAGGGGACAGGTGGGCAGGTGGAAGAGAGTAAAGTGGGGATAAATTATGACAGAAGAAGACTAAACTTTGGGTGGTGATGCAGTTTGCAGATGATGTATTATAGAACTGTACACTTGAAACCTATATAATTTTACTAGAGGCCCGGTGCACAAATTCGTGCATGGGTGAGGTCCAGCCAGTTCACCCCAATGGGGGATGATAGAGGGTCTGACAATCAGGGCCAGGGCCAGCTGAGGGGAAGGGCCTCGGGCAGTTGGCCGGCCACAGGAGGTTGGGGGTGTCCAATTGGAACCCCAATTTGCTGATTGGCCACTGCAGTGTGCATCATAGCAACTGATCATTCCAGTCATTTCGTCCACTTGGCTTTTATATATATAGATTGACCAATGTAACCCCAATAAATTCAGTATAAATGAGCCAATGAAAATTATTATAAATAGATATTGGAACTATAATCAAAGACTTTTTCCCCCAAATCAGGTAGCCTTTACCCTCTCTGCAGCCTAGGTGGTTTCCATTCTCATTTTCAGTTTAACCTTGCCTGTCCAAAATGTAAAGAGAAATCAGAGACATCCTGGAGCTGCAGTTATGGCTCAGCACTCAGATCATGAATTCTGGCCTCGATCTCTCACACTTCTTGCTAAATTCTAGCACCTTTTCACTATAACATCATTGTGACCTCCTTATATTCATTTTGCCTGAAATTCACTTATTATTTACAGTTGTAGGCATTTTCTGTGATTTTTATCACAACACTATGTTCAAATATTCTACTGACACAAAAGATTTGTAGTTAAAAGCAACAATCCCCAGACAATTCCAAAATACAAAATCAATGTTTCTTATGGCTCATATGTTGCAATTGTTTCTGAAGTCACTTATATGTCATCTGTATGACTCATTTTCCTCTCTTTTCATTCCCATTTTTATGCTGATGAAACAAGATTGTTTGTCTCCCCAAATGTATATTGCCGGTTATTTTCTGATGGTTTAACATGTTTCTTTATTCCCTGTACTTCCTACATGCTGGTAGTTATATCTATAGATTGGATGAGAAACACTAACAGTTTTACATTTCAAGGTGGCTTCTGAGTCGAGTCAGTGCAAAATATTTCTACCAGAGGCACATAATCATTGGCAATGTCTCTTTTTGTGCATTTAGCCACAGAACCATTTCTTAGGTGTATTATTTCATTAAGGGTTGCAAACTGTTGGTATTCTTACTCCATCATTCCTCAGTCATTTATTAGCCTGAATATAACTAAGAAATGAAATATTGCATAAAGATGTCTAGATTAAAAGTTAGCAAGAATGTGGACTTGGAATTCACTGAAGGGTCAGGTTATTGCTGAGTCTGCAAGTATGAGGTTTAAGGGACATAGCGAAGATCAGCTTAGAGGTCCGGGGGAGTGAAGTAGCTGTGGTTCCATGTTGAGTCCTTTTTCTGGTGGAGGTGTGCTAGATGTTTAGTGGTCACAGGACTCAGCAGAGTGAAGATTCCCCACACACACACGTAGGGCAAAGAGCCTGGGATAATAGCCTCACTGCTATAGTCCTGGATTCACAGAAAGTTATAAGGCATGCTCTATCAAAACTCATGGGTTTGCCATCTTAATGTACACAAAACTTTCTTCTGGCTGCATTTATGTACTTCCTTTTTTCTATGTATTTCCTCATTAAACGAAGAGTAGGTTTAACTATGGCAACCACACCTTGGTGAGGAACTTACGTTTTATTTTATATTCATTATGAAGCTTTTGGAAGAGGTTAAGCAGATAAAGCATGTCATTCTATTGGGATGGGTGATCTGCCATGGACCCTGCATGCCCTATGTCTTCCTACTGGGTATGTCAGAAATGCAAAGCCCTGAGATCTCATTACTTCAGATATTTATCAAGGTTGTTTCCGCAGTGAGCAACCCTGAGTGATGAAGTAATGTTTCAGTAGACAGAGAATGGACATGGATCTGCTTACCACAAAGGTGGTGAGTTCCCCAAACTCAGTGGTCCTCCCCTAAAATGCAGCCCACTCTATGTGCTGTCACTCACCTAGTCCCACCTGCATCACACTCATGGAACATGGGAGGGCATGAGGAACTGATATGAATATGAATTGTGGCTATTGATTTTGGTCTGAGTAATATATGTGAGAAGGGAGAATGTTAGAGAGTTAGAAACATCGATGAGAGAGAAACATTGATCAGCTGCCTCGTGCACACCTCCTACTGAGAATGTGCCCACAACCACAGTACATGCCCTTAATCAGAATCAAACCTGGGACCTTTCAGTCCGCAGGCCAATGCTCTATCCACTGAGTCAAACCAGTTAGTTAGGGCAGGAAGTCACCTTTTGATTTCCATCAGGGCATATGTCAGGTCTACAGGCTCAATCCCCAGTGAGGGCATTCAGGAGACAGCTGATGGATGATTCTCATCACAGATGTTTCTATCTCTTTCCTATCTCTCTTTCCCTCTTCCTTCCTCTCTCTGAAATCCTTAGAAAACATATTTAACCCTAGCCAGTTTTGTTCAGTGGACAGAGCATCAGCACTCAGACTGAAAGGTCCCTGGTTCAATTCCCATCAAGGGCACCTATCTCCATTGCAGACTCTATCCAGGTTCCAGTCCGGGCGCCTGTGGGAGGCAACCAATCAATGTGTTTCTCTCACATAGATGTTTCTCTCTGTGTATGTCTCTCCCCCTCCCTTCCACTCTCTCTAAAAATCAATGGGAAAATATCCTCAAGAGGGGATTAACAAAAATAAATAAATTTTTTAAATAAAAAAAAACATTTTTAAAATATTTTTTAAAAGAAGACAGGCCTTCTATGGCCCACGATGACAATCCCAATGCTCCTTCAGCAAGCAGACCTCAGAGGTAAAGAGGAAGTGGGTACAATCGCCCAAAGACATCAAGCACTGCCAGCAAGAATAGGGCCCCTTCAGAAAATGCTATCAGTTGTAAAACTGCCCCGGAAGTAGAGAGAAGGGGACATGAGAGCCCAGGGTGTATTCTCCCTCCCCCGCTCTCTCTTTCTTGTCCCACCCAGGCTCAGCCCCTCAACTTTTTCCTGATCTCACTTCTCAGCACTTGGCTGAGAGGAGCAGCTGCTTTCCCCCCACTTCCCTCTCTCTGGGCTAATCTCAGATTTGCGTTGTCTAGGGTGAGGCCCAGTCCTGCAGTGGGCTGGAACACCAACTCCGGCTTTATTAAGCCCTGGACTCGTACTGAGGCAGCAGGAGAAAGCCTGGCTGCGGAATCTTTGGTACCAATAAAGGGACCTCTGCCACCCAGGAGAGCCCACCTGCTGCCATGGGCCGCTACCGCATCCGCGTGGCCACTGGGGCCTGGCCCTTCTCTGGGTCTTTCAACCGCGTGCAGCTGTGGCTGGTGGGGGAGCGCGGGGAGGCAGAGCTGGAGCTGCAGCTGAGGCCAACGCGGGGCCAGGTGGGCAGGAAAGAGGGGCTCAATGCATGAGGGCGGGCAGGACGCTGGAGGCTAGGAGCCAGTGATGGGCATTCGCTCTGGAACTGCCAGTGAGAAGGGACCCCAGCAGCTAGGTGGGTTAGAGATTCAGAGCCAGAGCCCAGCTGAGCTCAACCCGTCTCTCCCTGTCCGAGACTGTGATCCACACAGCCTCCACTACCTCCCTAAGTGATCCAGTATCACTCTGGGATCAGTGGTCAAAGGGAAGGTCCTCTGAGAGAGCGCGGGGAGAGCTCAGTTTATGGACAGGGTAGGTGATGATGCTCAGTCCTCAATAAAAAACACTCAGGCCTCACCCCGAGTTCCAGGTCTACCAGGTTCTGGTCCCCACAGGTGGAGGAGTTTGAGCAGGACATTCCCCAGGACTTGGGGCCACTGCAGTTCGTGAAGTTGCGCAAACACCACTCTCTGGTGGACGACGCCTGGTTCTGCGACCGCATCACCGTGCAGGGCCCGGGAGCCTTGGAGGAGGCCGCCTTCCCCTGCTACCGCTGGGTGCAGGGCGAGGGCCTGCTGACCCTGCCCGAGGGCACTGGTAAGGACCACCTCGGGGAAGTGGGTGCAGGGCTTAGGGTGTACACTGTACAGGGAAGAGAAAGATAGGGGATAGCATTGAGGAAGGTCCTAGGGGTTGAAATAGTGCATGCTCAGCAGGTTAAAGGTGGACAAAGCAGAAAATAGAGAAGTTATACATGGAATTACAAAGGCTGGAAATGCCACTGGACAGGGAAATGAGTGATGTGTAGATCCCACCTCCCAAAAGGTGAGCAGAGGGAAAGGGAAGTTAAGCCATGCTGGGAAGCAGAAGAGCCAAAATAAAGGGGAAATGAAATCTCTATGTGACTGGGAACAAGTTAGGGCAGGGACAGGTGAGGCTAGCACAGGGACCCTTGAGAGGAGGCAGGGAAGGGGAGCAAATAAATGATATGATGTGGAGAACTGGTTTGTGAAGAGTTGAGTTCCATGTTTTCATGAAAGAAAACTGTGAGACCAGGAAGCACTCTGACTAGGGTGGGGATGAATGAGGACAGCAAAGAGAGAATCTGCTACCTTAGGAAATGAGTATGAGAGACAATTTAGGAAAATGACAGGTAAGAATGGAAGCTTAAACTAAATATCTTTGAGGCACAAGTAAGTATAGGTATAGATGAGGGCAGGATTAAGCCAGGTAACCAACTATAAACTATGTGCAGTCTAGGACAGGTGAGATGAAGCCAGATAAAGTAGCAATATGGATCCACTATTTGGTTTGGCACATAGAGAATATCTTATCCCAGGGAACAGGTGACTGTGGAAGTAGGTTGAGGTCAGAGGATGTAAGTGTGCGTAACTTGAAATATGTCATTTTGGAGAACAGCTTAAGGTGTGGACAGGGAAGGACCAGGACAGGAGAAATTAACAAAGGAATATGGAGTAATGTCAGATAAGTATGGACTTTTCAGCTGATTAAGAAATTTATAGCCCCTGTGATGAAGAAAAGCGGTAGATAGGAAAATTTTAGTTAAGGTTTACAATAGGGTGACAAAAGAAATTGGATTTTCCTCTCAGGAAAAATATGAGATTGAAGATTGGTGAAATTAAGAAAAGGGAGTGAGAAAAGATGAATGACTAGGGGACTAAGCAGAGCCAGAGAGGAAAAAAAACAAAAGAATATGTTGCCATACAGTTAGGAAATAGAAGACTGTGATCCCACTTCCAGAAATATATCCTAAGAAGCCCTACACACCAATTAGAAAGAATATATGCACCCCTATGTTCATTACAACATTATTTATAATGCCTAAGATCTGGAAACAGATCAAGTGTCCATCATTAGATGAGTGGATAAAGAAGCTGTGGTATATTTACAAATGGAATAGTTTGCAGCTATAAACAAGAAGGATTTCTTACCCAAACAACAGCATGGATAGACCTAAAGAATATTATTCTGAGTGAAAGAATAAGTATCACAGTTGGAGAAAGACAAGTATCACATGATCTCACTTATAAGTGGAATCTAATGAACACAATAAACTGATGAACAAAATCGATCCAGAGATATAGAAGCATGGAGCAGACTGACATACTCAGAGGTGGGGTGTTGAGTGAATGGAGATGGAAAAAGATTAGAACAAAAGAACTTATATACATACATGCATAACTATGGATACAGCCAATAGTGTGGTGAAGGCCTCAAGTGGGGTGGGGGCAGAGAGGGGGATAGAATGGAGGGAATAATTGAGGGATATCTATAATACTGTCAACAATTTAAAAATAAAAGTAAACAGAACACTGGAAGGAGTCAGGGCATATCATGAGATTGGAGAATCCACTGAGGAGAATTGCTTTGTTGTCTCCTCAGCCCACCTGGCAGGAAACAATACCTTGGATGTCTTCCAGAAGCATCGAGAAAAGGAACTGGAGGAAAGACAGAAAATCTACTGGTGACCACCCTATTAGAAACCTCCCAGCTGTACCCCTTCCCTGACAACTTGCTCCATCAATGACTTCTACCCCCTCCATTAACCTTTGTCCCCATATCTTAGCTGGGCCACCTGGAAGGAAGGGTTACCCATGACAATTGCTGCAGACACTATAGATGATCTGCCTTCAAATATGAGGTTCCATGAGCAGAAGAGGCTTCACTATGAATGGACAGTGATTGGAGGGTGAGGAAATGGTCAGAGTGGAGTGGGGCTGGTAGATCCAGAAACAAGATTTGGTAAATTGATGGTTTCACCCTTGGTATCTGCTTTAGGCTTATGGAGATGGTCCTCAAATATGTTTACACCTTCCCAAGCCCCTGGAAACGCCTGGAAGATTTTGACCAGATCTTCTGGGGACAAAAGACTGCCCTGGCTGGTCAGTTGTTTGTCCAGGTCCCCATAACCCCTTGATGACCCTATTAATGAGGTATGTGTCACATTGCATAGTCTCCAAACTTCTTGCCAAAAAATAATTTGAGAGCTGGGGATCTCACAAAGGCCTCATGAATGAAAACATGTGGGCTGGGTATGGAGGAGTCATGTGATTAAAGCCCTATAATAGAGCCTAACAGAGAAAAACATCAGGTTATGGTGAATATCCTCCTTCTAACCTCCACTCTGACCCCACAGAGAAGGTTCACCAGCGCTGGCAGGAAGATGAGCTTTTTGGCTACCAGTTCCTCAATGGCGCCAACCCCATGCTGCTGAGACGCTCCACCTCTCTGCCCTCCCGGCTGGTGCTGCCCTCGGGGATGGAGGAGCTTCAGGCCCAGCTGGAGAAAGAACTCCAGGTACAGCCTCCAGTCCCCGAGTGTCTTCTCCCTGTCTGTGGGGTTATGAAGGGGCAGAACCAAAGTTGAGTCTGGAAAGGGAGATTGTGGTAACCCACTGTCCCTGGGTATAGAGTCCTCTGCTGGGAAAACCTAGAGGTGAAAATGTAGGGAAAGCATCGAAGCTGGATTCTGCCAATAAAGCTGACCATTAGAAGATGGTGGGGAAAGGAGCTTGGGCAGCCTGACCAGGGGAGAGCTGGGCATACCTGTGGGACAGAAGCAATGGGCATACTTAACCCTAAAACTGCCTCTGACACAGACAAGCATGTCTCTAAGGAAGCCTCCTGCCTCCTTTCATGGGGTCTAGCCCTCTCAGTAAAATAAGAGAACTTGAACTTGATGCTCTGGTGCTTCCTTCAGTTCTGCAACTAGGACTCAGATACTGATAGGGGATAATGGCAAGAGAGTGGATGTCTTTACATTTCTTTCCCTTTGCCTTGGACCTGTGGAGGTATGCTTTCAACTCTAACCCTGGATTCATTCCTCTTTCCTTAGAATGGTTCCCTGTTTGAGGCTGACTGCATCCTACTTGATGGAATTCCAGCCAACGTGATTCAAGGAGAGAAGCAGTACCTGTCTGCCCCCCTTGTCATGCTGAAGATGGAGCCCAGTGGGAAGCTGCTCCCCATGGTCATCCAGGTGAGGTGTCCTCAGAAACCTCTGCCCAACACTGCTCTGTGTTCATCCCCAACCTCTGCCAACAGACAAAGACAGCAGGCTCTGTCACCCACCACTGCCTCAATCAGTGACATCTATCCTTGTATCCAATATCTCCTTTCTACCTTACAGCCTACTCACAACTCACGTGAAATTGCATTTTTGTGAGTCATAATGGTCTCATTTGCTTCTTACCTACAGTTATTTAATCTCTTTCTGACCTATAAATCTATGAAATATTCCTTCTTTCTTAGACATCTTTTCTCCCTTGGTTATAATGTGTTTTCACACTTACTGTTCTCATCAATCAGTTCATAGGAACTGTTATTTATCTCATGTGTCCACCTTCTCCTTCTGATTCTACCATCCTAACTCTCACCCTCATCAAGTTTCCCTCAGTCATACTAGACATCTCTTTCCAATTCCTCCTGCTTTGAACCTGAGCATCATGGCACTGACACTTCCCCACAGCACTTGAGAGGATGAGTGGAAGGGCCTTCATTCCTCCAACTATATTATAATCCCTGGGAGACAATAATCAGTCACCAGTGTTTCCCCCAGAATAATAAGCATAGCTTCTAACATAGGAAGAAGCCAATGAATGCTTAGCTCCTCTTGGTTTCAGATCCAGCCTCCCAGCCCCAGCTGCCCCACCCCACCACTGTTCCTGCCCTCAGATCCTCCCCTTGCCTGGCTCCTGGCAAAGATGTGGGTCCGAAGTTCAGATTTCCACGTTCATGAACTCCAGTATCACTTGATGAACATTCATCTGCTGGGTGAGGTCATCGCTGTGGCCACCATGAGGTGCCTCCCAGGACTGCACCCTGTCTTCAAGGTACATCCTCTATCTTCCATGTCTCCTCTCTAGGATTTAAAAAGCATCAGCCACCTGTTTGGGAGGAAATTAACAAAGCTTCTTCTAATTGAATGAATGTCCATATTATTGTAATAAAAAAATCTTTATAGCAATTTGTGAACAGAAAAAAGGAAATTATTGTGACAGGATCTTGCCCTTGTGGCTTTATTTCTAATGTCTAAATTATTTTACTTTGAGATAATCATAGATTCTTAAACAGTTTGAAGAAATAATACAGAGAGATGCCATCTATTGTATTAAACCAAGTTACTTAGCATATATTGAGCTCTTATTGTAAGGCAGCTTGATATTCTCCAGCAGAGTCTGCTGTAGAGCAGGAATGTAATTTAATAAACAAAACTTATTGCTCTGCTTTCACAGAGCTAGCATATAACTAGCAAGACAAACGCTACACATAAAAAAAATAGCCAGAGAACAAAACCTGAATATAAAGCTGAAATAAAGACAGAAAGCAATAAACACTATATTTTTTTGTAGAATATTCCACCACAATTTAGGATTCATTAAGTAGAAGGTCAAAGGGATAAAAGACCAGTCCCAAAGGTTATTTTACTGACCAGTGACAGAGGTGCGTGACATGGTAGTTAGAGCAATGGAAAGGAAAATGTAAAGACCTTGTGATGAGAGGAAATAGTAGTTGCAGCATGCTGAGTACATGACTGAAGAGAAAGCTCAGAGGTCTGAGCTGCTGCAACAACTAGGAGCCCACCCAGTCAATACAGTTATCCTGATCCAGAAATACAATAATTTTATAAAACAGTGAGTCTAGAATTTATTGCTAAGCAGAAGGCAGCAAAATTAGCCATGTGTTTCCTTTAAAAACATTTTTGAAATCTTGATGACATTAGCAGCAGGAGCAAAATAACACAAACTTATGAACCAGAACAATTGTCAGAAACAATACATTCAGCAGAAGCCCATTTTGAAGTCAAAGATGATATGTTTGGTTTTAGGAACCTGGAGTTGGAAGGGGTGGCAAGATATGTGTGTGCATGCTGGGTAGAACATCTGAATTGTATTTCTTCCAGGAGTCCCACCTTCATCTCCAAACCTGTCCATTGGTAGCAATGATCCCTTTGGGTCCAGGGGTAGCATAGACAAAATAGACCTTAAAAGAATCCCTTGATGTTGGAGTAGTTGACTTTATGATGCTTTTTCATCACCATTTGCTCTATATTTTGAACCAACTTTTACATTTCAAAACCCCTCTTCCACAGCCTCCTTTATATCTGTCTCCCCTCTCCATAACAATTTCATCCCACAGCAAACAGCTGAGTTGTTATCAGGCTACCAGGAGGGCTAGGCCTGCCCCCTTCATAAAGGTTACCTGTGCAGGCTGTGCATTCAGACTGCTGGTGTTTGCATCCTGAATCCTGGCCTCAGTTCTCACCAGATGTGCACTCAGGGTCCTCATCTCTAAATGGGGATAATAGGCCCTCCATCATGGAGTTGATGTGGGATAATAGAACAGCATGACACAGGCTAAATTCAACAACAACAAAAAACTAGTAGTTCTTGCCATTATGAATAGTTCTTTGTCTTCTGGTTTCTTCCCTCCTCATGTAGACTTGGGGTTTCCTATGACCCTCAGCATCTTTAGTGGTCTTTCTGGGGTTTCAGACCAATGTGAGTTGCTTTGTTATGTTGGTACCAATGATATCAGTTGGATCAGGTCCTTCCCTCTCTGCAGCATCACCAACTCACATAAATAACAATGTTTCATGACTCCATCAGTCTAAGAAAAAAATGTCTAAGACAAAAGGAAATGCACATGAGGATCAGATGGCCTTTTTTCAGGGCAAAGGGAAATCAGGAGAGAGGGCCCTAACTAACAGTGCCTAATTGGGGAGGGAGGAGATTTGACAATAGCCCCTCTGCCATTAAAGAGGATATATCAATAAGGTTCCTTTAATTCTGACTGAAAGTACCCTACCCAACTCAACCCTGAAATTTTAAAAATGCAAGAGTAAAACAACTAGAGGTTGGATGAGCAGCTTTGAAAATTAATAGAAAGGCTAGTTTAAACTGTATAGATATGTATGCTAGAAAATTTATTTTAAAATATAAAAAATTAAAGGACTAATTCTCAAAGGACACCTATACTCAAGGTGGGAATAATAAAGGTAATGATAAGAGTTGCTACTAAGCCCTGACGGGTTTGGCTCAGTGGATAGAGCGTCGGCCTGTGGACTGAATGGTCCCAGGTTCGATTCCGGTCAAGGGCATGTACCTTGATTGCAGGCACATCCCCAGTAGGTGGTGTGCAGGAGGCAGCTGATTGATGTTTCTCTCTCATTAATGCTTCTAACTCTCTATCCTTTTCCCTTCCTCTCTATAAAAAATCAATAAAAATATATTTTTAAAAAAGAGCTGCTACTAAAAGATGTCTGTGTGATAGGCAATGTTCTGAACACTCTCATACATTACACATATGTTATACATATAAAGATCATCGCAGCACCCTTAATGATACCCTATTGTCATCCCTTGCAAAGAGATAAAGGGATAGATGCTTAGAGGGTTTATAATCTTGGTCAAGTTTCAAAGTAAGTGGTGAAGTGTATATTAAAGTCCAGGTCAGTCAGACTCCAAAGCTCAACTCACAGAGCAATGGGAGAATATAAGACTAAGAGATCAGAGAGGGAGGAGGCTACCTGGCAAAGGCACCAGCAGGTAGGAAAGCATCAAGAGAAGAGGGAGAGAAAGCCACATGCTGAGTGCTGCTCACTAATAAAGAAGGATCCAAGCATGTCCTCCATAAAGCACCCCTCCACCCTTCTCCATCCAGCTCCTGATCCCACACACCCGCTACACCCTGGACATCAACACCAGGGCACGGAACCAACTCATCTCAGATGGAGGTATATTTGATAAGGTAAGGAGATGGATTGTAGGGCCACCCAATCACCCAAGTCTGCACGACCTCCTGTTACTTTCAGCATTCTGGGGCCACCTGTGTGACTGTCCTGACCCTTTAACCCAGGAGCCTTGCCTCTTCATACCAATGTCTTTGAATCTGAAAAGGCCACATCTCTCCACTTTACATACTATGCCATGTTTTCTAGTTCTATTAGTCCCTTCAGAACCCCTCATTTCTATTGTCACAGGGATGGAGCACAGGTGGAGGAGGCCATATACAGGTGCTCCGTCGGGCCATGACTCAGCTGACCTACCGCTCCCTCTGTCCTCCTGACGATCTGGCTGACCGGGGTCTGCTGGGAATCCCAAGTGCCCTCTATGCCCATGATGCTTTACAGCTCTGGGAGATCATTGCTCGGTGGGTGAGAGTTGGAGAAATACAATAAAAGGACATTGGGAACAGTGAGAATGGGGCTTTAACCTGAGGTCACCATGAGGCCAAAGGAATATGAAAGAAGAAAGTCCAGAAAGGAGAAGCAAAGGAGTCAATTGAGAAGAGATAAGGAACAGTGAAGAGATGGTGGGTAGGGTCTGAGGATGGGAAGGTTGAAATAAACAGTGTAAGTAAGTAGATTTGTGTGGGTGAGTGAAACTATGGGATCTGGTGGAATCAGGGATTTTGTTATGAAGAGTGACTATAAATCATATGTTTGGATTTCTTTTTCTTTATTATCTATATATATAAAAGCCTAAGTGACTGTTACAACCAAATGACCAGTTGACTAGTTGCTATGATATGCACTGACCATCAGGGGACAGACACTCAATGCAGGAGCAGCCCCTGGTGGTCAGTGCACTCCCACAGCCAACTTTCTGCATCTGGCCAATGTCCTCTGGTTTCTCCCCACAGCTGGCTGCCCTCTCCAATCAGCCCAATGGAGGTGGTGGCCAGCCCCCTGATGTCCCATGGTTCCTCCCCCCAGCCAGCCGGCCAGCCTCCCATGGACCCTTCCCCTGGCTGACTCAGCCTCAATCGGCCCTGATTCCTGGCCAGGCCGAGGGACCCCACCTGTGCACGAATGTGTGTACCAGGCCTCTAGTTTAATATATTTGTACTGATTTCAGAGGGGAAGGGAGAGGGAGAGAGATTAAAAAAAAAAAAAATCAGTGATGAGAGAATCATTGATTGGCTGCTGCCTGCTGGCCCCTCCTAGGGATCTAATCAGCAACCCAGACACATGCCACAACTGGAAATTGAACTGTGACCTCCTGGTTCATAGGTCCACACTCAATCACTGAGGTACATTGACCAGGCAGAATTCTTAAAAGTAATGCCACACATTTCCTTCTTTTCTAAACTAATGTGTAGAAAGAGCTCCAGAATGTCCCAAAAGTCAAATCTTGTCAGTTCTGTTCCCGGGTAGTGTGAGAATCAGCTGGATAGACACCACAGAAAAGGAGGAGCAGCCAGAGAGTAGAGCCTTCTCGTCTCAAGGAGCTCAGCTCCCTTTTCTGGGCAGGTACGTGGAGGGGATTGTGCACCTCTTCTACCACGGGGATGACGTTGTGAGAGGGGACCCTGAGCTGCAGGCCTGGTGTCGGGAGATCACGGAGGTGGGGCTGTGCCAGGCCCAGGACCAAGGTAAGATCCCTCCCCAGAGAAGGGAGCACCTTAAACCCTCTGACCAGAGGCCCTTTTCAGCCTTGCTCTTCTGGGACCATGACCCCAACCCCTCATCATCCCTGACCCTCCACACATGGAGCATCTTATTCTCATTCCCACTTCCTAAGTCTCAGGACAATTCTAGAAACCCAAGGACTGTTCTCTTCAGAGATCCCATGCCTCTTCTTAGATGCCCCTAACCTGCGATAGGGACTAATAAGGCCAGAATCATAGTTAATAGGGAATCTGCCCAGGTCCTGCCAGGTTATCTTCTAATTATTATCTTATTTTCCTACTTAAGGCTAGAATAGGGAGATTATTCCCACCAAAGTCCATGAAATCCCACCCTACCTTTTCCTCCTCTTTCCCTCTTGCAACTGTCTGACACTCTCAGAGGATTCAGACATCCTGCCTGCCATAGTGCAGGGCCATTTATAAATGTAGACTCAATACTGTATATATTTTAACTTAAATTCAAACTTAGTACCATGATCCTTGGGACTCAAGTTTCTTAGGCAAAAGTGCTCTCCTCACCAGTGAACTACCTTCAAGTCCCCTACCCCATAAAAAAAATATTCATTGATTTGAAGAGAAGAAGGGTGAGGGAGAGAGAGATAGAAATATTATGAGAGAGAATCATTGATCGGCTACTTCCTGCATGCCTCACCGTGGGGATCAAGCCGGCAACCCTGCAGATGCCCTGAACAGAAGAATCTAGCCATGACCAGGTTTATAGGTAGATGCTCAACCACTGAGCCATGTTAGCTGGGCTCTGCTACCCCATTTTTTATCCATAAAAAAGAAATGGCCTTTCTTGAGCTCTTCCTGGATTCATATTCCTCTCTCTAGTACACATAGGCTAGCTGGGACTGTTTTGAATCATGCTTTAGCTCTTCACACCAATACCTTGAATCCCTTCACCCTCCGTGTGATAACTGTAACCAACAGCTAAGAGCTATTACTTATAATCAGGCCCTGAGAACACACACTTCATTAAGCCACATCCATACCAGGGAGTGGAGTCATATCTCAAAGTATATGGAGCTATACCTTTCCCATTCATCCAAGAACACCTCAAAAGCCCTTTATGACCAAAATCTCTGTAGTATGTTTCAGCTCTGTCCATCAGGTTCCACATGATCCAAGTGACCCTTCTCATTTTCTCTTTCATGCTTCTCCCCACGAAATATCCACATCAGAGCACTTTTAATACTTATTTAGCTGTGAGCTTTAACCACTTGCACCCACACCATTCTCCCTCAGCTTTCATGGTTCTTTCTCATCATCACTCTCTCATCACTCTCATTAAAGGCATGCATTAAGATATTCTCTTCCTAGACCTATGCCTTGAGAAAGCCATTTAATCTCTTTGACTTTTAATATCCTTTCTCTGAAGTGAATATAACTCTTGTCCCAAATGAATATTGAATGTGAAAAGTAGAAACATGTGTAAAGCAATCAATCCTTTATAATAAAGAGCTAATATGCTAAATAAACCGCACAGTGGTGGGAGAGAAGCGGTGCAGTCCCGGCGCCTCCACAGAGGTGGGACAGGGTGGGAGCAAGGCACCTCAACCTCCCATGAGGGCCTTCCCCCAACAGTCCAGGCCCCCAATCACCACCCCCCTACCAGTGGGCGGGAGCAGGGACAGCACTAAGGAGCAGTGAGCCAGCTTTTCGTTGAACAGTGCCACCACACCCAGGCTCACAGCAGCAGTAAGGATGTTCAACTGATGGCTCCTGAACTGTGAGAGGGCGCAGGCCAGGCTGAGGGATCCCCATCCCAGTGCACAAATTTTATGCACCAGGCCTCTAGTGTAAAAAGATTATAATCATATGCCACACTCCAAAAACTTATCTTCCCAGTTTAATCAGCAAGTGTAATAGGTGAGCAGGTTCTTAAACGCCCTGAGCAGCATCTCAACTGTAAATTGAGTGGATGAGACAGTGAATTGATGCTGTTTCAGCACCAACACCAGTCTATGACTTCTCTTTTATTCTGCATTATAGCCCAGATACCTGAAACTACTTTCTGAAAATAGGAGAGCAACCTCGGCTTTCTTAACTGTTTTTTTTTTTTTTTTTTTTGGGGGGGGGGGTGAAAATTTTATTAAAATAAAATAAACATAAAGAAAAATTAATGTTATAAATCATTGGCTTACAACTTGAACTTTTAGTAAGGTGACATATCTATCAAAGAATAAACAAACAGCTCCCAAGAAACCCCTTGCCCATCCAAAGGTAACCACTTCATACTGTGCAGGTTAGTTTTACCTGTTTGAACTTTACACAAATGAAAACACAAAAATGCACTCAATACTGTCGCAAAATATGTTTGAAAATTACCCATGCTGTTACAAAATGTAGCATGTATTTCATTGTTCTCATTGTATATTATTCCATTTTGTGAATATGGTGGACTTTATTTTTTTCCTTTCTTCCATTGATGGGCATTTGGTTTGTTTCCATTTCGAGGCTATTAATGTCACTGCTGCTGTGAACAATGTCATGTGTACAGTTCTGTTGGGTGTGTATCTAGAAGTGAAATTGATGGTCATAGGATATGTGTATGTTCTGCTTTAGTGGTTTCTGACAGTTTTCCAATGTGCTTGTATACATTTACTCTCCCTCCACAGAGTATGAGGTGTAGTCAGTATCTTCTCAAATATTTGAAAAAATGCTTTGGTCACATTGTGAATATGTTATGTTTTCACAATATGAGTTTAAGTTGTATTCTCCCAGTGACTGATAGAACCGAGGAACTTGTCCTAGGTTTAGTAGCCACATGGATATCCTCCTTTGTGTGGAGCCTGTGCCATTTTATTTTGGGTGTCTACCTCTCTCCTGTTGCTTTTAACACTTTTGAACACTGGATATTTGACCAACCAGCCTCTTGGCCCTACCCACTCCCCACCTTATAAACAAACATACCTACAATGGACTGAGGGGCTTTTGCATGAACCGTCCCTTTATAAGGTAACTATTATTATCTCTATTTTCATAGTAAAATAAACAGAAACTCAGAGAAGCTAAACAGTCAGTCCAAGGTAATGAGTTAGTCAGCAGCAAAGCAAGGACTGGTCTTTTGACTAAATTATTAACTACCCCTCTTTACATCTCATATCTCTTTTCCTTAACTTACTTATATTCTTACTAGAGGCCCAGTGCACGAAATCTGTGCACTGGGGAGAGGGGGCGGGGAGAGGGTGGTCCCTCAGCCAGGCCTGCACCCTCTCACAGTTCGGGAGCCTTAGGATGTCCAACTATGGAAGCGGGCCAAAGCCATCAGTTGGACATCCTTAGTGCTGCCATGGCAGTGGTAGAGGTTCCTGCCACTGCCGCTGGGCTCACCAGTTGTGAGCACAGCTTCTGGCTGAGAGGTGCTCCCCCTGTGGGAGCATGCTGACCACCAAGGGGAAGCTGCTACATTGAGTGTCTGCCCTCTTGTGGTCAGTGTGTGTCATAGTGACTGGTCATTCCACTGTCCTGTCAATTTGCATATTAACCTTTTATTATATAGGGTCACTATCTAACAAACTGCATGTAATTTGACTTAGTTATTCTGTTTATTACTATTATTATTATTATTATTCCCTATTACAGTCTGTTTTGTCCACCATCATATTCCCAGTGCCTATATAATATTGATGGGAATATAATATCTGGTACATAATAGTTCATGACTTTTTAAATAAATGAATGAATGAACACTCCCTAATTCTAACATATAGACATGCCAAGATATCAGCATTTATTTCCTTATCTCCTTTGGTACTGCCGTGTCTAAAGCTTTGTTCTTTTCTCTAGGTTTCCCTGTGTCCTTCCAGTCTCGAGCTCAGCTCTGCCATTTCCTTACCATGTGTATCTTCACATGCACTGCCCAGCATGCAGCAATCAACCAGAGCCAGGTATGGAAAACTAAGAGCCTGGGTCTGTGAGAGGAAGTGTCTGGTCTAGGGGACACTTGAGGAACAGAGTTGGGGTCCAGGGTCCTGAATCAGAGTTTCTGAGTGACTCCAGATTCTTCTTTTTCTAGTTGGACTGGTATTTCTGGGTCCCTAATGCCCCAAGCTCAATGCGGATGCCCCCACCCACCACCAAGGAAGATATCACAATGGACACAGTGATGGGCTCACTACCTAATGTCTGGCAGACCAGTCTTCAAATGGCTTCCGCATGGCTCCTTAGCTGTCCGCATCCAGACATGGTGAGAGGGGACCTCTGGAATTCTGAGGGGACTAATGACTGACAAGGAGACTATAGGATGAAAGACAGGAGTTTGGGTCCCTTTTTCTTAGAACTAGAAGATGATTGGTCCTTTCTTTCTGCTTCAGGTACCACTGGGGCATCACAAAGAAGAGTATTTCTCAGGTCCTGAGCCCAAGGCTGTTTTAAGGCAGTTTCAGACAGATTTGGACAACTTGGAAAAGGAAATCGTGGCCCGGAATGAGCAGCTAGAATTACCCTATGAACACCTGAAACCCAGCCTCATAGAGAACAGCATCACTATTTGAACCTAAATCATTCAATATTTGAGGCCACCACCACAGTTAATATTTTCCACCTGATTTTTACTGTTTCCATGGGTCTGAGTTGCTACGGTTCTATTTTGTCCTCTTGAGTTCCCTACCTAAATATCTCACTAGCATGAAGCATTATCCTTACTTTCTGTTCCCTAATAGGATGATCTTTAACTTGAAACCAACTCCCTTAGAGAAATCAAATATCTTCCCACATCATGTTTTCCTTCCTCTGGAAATTTTGCCTTCTTCATTTATCAATAAATCATTATGGCCCTAGCTGGTTTGGCCTGTGGACTGAAGGGTCCTGGGTTCAATTCCAGTCAAGGGCATATGCCTGGGTTGCAGGCTTGATCACCAATGGGGGGACTTATATGAGGCAGCTAATCAATGATTCTCATCATTGATACTTTTATCTATCTCTCTCTCTTCCTCTTCCTTCTTCTCTGAAATCAATTTAAAAAATTAAAAAATCATTATATAATGACATTGTATTATCATTGATGTAAGTGATTTAAAAATGTGTTTAATAGTGTAGCTAATTTTTTAATACAGTGGAAGACAGAAGTCAATTCTATATGTCTTTTCTGCCCTAGATAATAATTCATCACAGCACTGTTCATTGAAAAACTCATCCCTCCTATTAATCTATAACACTGACATTGATTAAGTTGCCATCTATGAATGAATTAGTTCTCAGATGTCCAGTAGTTATAACCACACTCACATAACTGCTACAGCTTTATACTTTTTTTTTTAAATCAATCTTTATTGTTCATATTATTACAAAGGTTCCTCATTTCTTCCCCCCTCCACCAGGTTCCCACCCCACCCTCTGCCCCTTTCCCCTCCCCCATTGTCCTCATCCATAGGTGCACAGTTTATGTTCAGTCTCTTCCTCCCTCCCTTTCCCCGATAGTAAATCCCTTTTCAGATAGTAAATCAGTTACTTAGCATTTTCTCATATCAATAATACCTCCACATGCCCAATGATACACTTCACACAAAAGACATTTCCAAATAGGTCAACCAACCTCATCCAGGCCCCGTACAAGGCACTCACAGATCAACACCCCAGCGCTATACTAACCCAACACATCCAGATCTAAGCCTTCATCACTTGATTCAGCAGACCCTCAAGTTCCCGCAAAAGTTTCCAGCCATGTCTGAGAGGCAGCCTTGGAGCGGGGGCAGGCGAGGAGTGAGCTGTTCCGGGCCTGGCTGCTCTAGGCCTGGCCTCTGTTGCTCTGCTCCGTTCCACAACCAGCTGCTCTGGGTCTGGCCACTGCCGCTCCCGACCTGGTTGCTCCAGGCTTGGCTGCTGCTGCTCCGGGCCTGGCCACACCCAACCCGGCTGCTCTGGGCCCGGCTGCTCCGGGCCTGGCTGCTCCGGGCCTGGCCGCTCCCAGACTGGCAGCTGCTGCTCCGGGCCTGACCGCTCCCAGCCTGGCAGCTTACAGCTTTATACTTAATACTAGAGGCCTTGTGCACAAATTTGTGCACCAATGGGATCCCGAGGCCTTGCCTGTGGGATCAGGCCAAAACCGGCTCTCTAACATCCCCCAAGGGGTCCCCAAGATTGCGAGAGGGCACAAGTCAGGCCAAGGGACCCCACTGGTGCATGATCAGGGTTTGGGAGGGATGTAGGAGGTTGGCCAGCCAGGGAGGTACCGCGGGAAGGCTCCAGGGCACATCTAGCCCATCTCAATCAGTTCCTATCAGCCAGACCCCAGCAGCAAGCTAATCTACCTATCGAAGCCTCTGTCTCTTGGTGGTCAGTGCATATCATAGCAAGCAGTTGAGCAGCCTTAGCATACCATTAGCATATTACACTTTGATTGGTTGAATGGCTAACTGGAAGACCAGACACTTAGCATATTTGGCTTTTATTATATAGGAGAGCACTCTTATTCAACATAGCACTGGAAGTCCTAGTCACAGCAATTGAACAAGAAGAAGAAATAAAAGGCATCAAAGAAATCCAAATTGGAAAAGAGGAAGTAAAACTCTCATTACCCACAGACAACATGATATTGTACATAGAAAACTCTAAAGATTCTACCAAAAACTACTAGATTTAACAAATAAATTTGGCAATGCAACAAGATACAAAATTAATATGCAGAAATCAATGGCAGTTTTATACACCAATAATGAATTCTCAGAAAGAGAACCTAAACAAACAATCCCATTTACCATTGCAAAATAAAAGAAGAAGGAGGAGGAGGAGGAGGAGGAGGAGGAGGAGGAGGAGGAGAAGGAAAAGGAGGAGGAGGAGGAAGAGGAGGAGGAGGAGAAGAAGAAGAAGAAGAAGAAGAAGAAGAAGAAGAAGAAGAAGAAGGAGGAGGAGGAGGAGGAGGAGGAAAGAAGAAGCAATTTAGGAATAAACTTAACCAAGGAGGTAAAAGGCTTGTACTCGGAAATCCACAGGGCATTGAAAAAAGAGATAAAGGAAGATATAAACAAATGGAAGAATACACCATGTTCATGGATTGATAAAATTAACATCATTAAAATTTCCATACTACCCAAAGTAATTTATAGATTCAATGAAATCTCTATTAAAATACCAACAGCATATTCAGAAAAAATACTCCAAAAATATATATGAAACAAAAAAAAAAAAGAGAGAGAGAGACTCCAAATAGCAGCAGCAATCTTGAGAAACAAGAACAAAGTTGGGGGAATCATAATACTGGATATCAAGTTATACTACAAAGCTACTGTAATCAAAACAGCCTGGTACTGGCACAAGAACAGGCATATAGATCAATGAAACAAAGCAGATTCCAGAAATCAACCCAAGCCATTATGCTCAATAAATATTTGACAACGGGGAGAATCCAAGATGGAGGCATAGGTAACACCTAACTGCAGCCTTACACAACAATTTCAATAAAATACAACTAAAATACAAAATGGACATTACCCAGAACTACAGGAAAGTTGGCTAACTGGAAATTCTACAATGAGAAGGAAAGAGAAAACCAGGAGGAAACTCAGAGGAGCTGTAAAAGCCCAAGGTACAGAGACAAGTTGCCCGCGCACGAAGAGGACGGAGCCGGAGAGGAGGGGGAGGCTGAGTGCCTGGCTGGCGTTCCCTAGCAGGAAGGAGATTAAAGCTCCGGACTGTGATGAACCCCAGATCTGACATCACTGAACCCCAGTTCTAGGCCAGACTCTGGGGACCCAGGCTCATACAGAGGGAGCCTGGGCTGTAAAGCGGAATCTCAGGGGAGCAGCGAAAGGCAGAGCCCCCGGTGGCGCACACATTACGCACAGAGGACGGACCATTGACTCTGCTGCTACATTGCCCTACTGGGAAGGAGACAAAAGCTCCAGACTGTGCTGAGCCCCAGTTCCGACTACACTGAACCCCAGTTCTAGGCCAGATCACGGGGACCCAGGCTCATACAGAGGGAGCCTGGCTGTAAGGCAGAAACCCAGGGGAGTGGGCGGTTGACTATGCCGCTAGATTGCCCTAGCGGGAAGGAGACAAAAGCTCCAGACTACTCTGAACCCACTTCCAACCCCACTTCCAACTGAACTGAACCCCAGTTCTGGGCTCATTGGGGAAGAGCCTAGACTATTTGGAAGCAGGCAAAACTCGAGGGCACCTTCCTCTCAGAGGTGCTTGCAACGAGTACTGAAGGACCCTGAGGAATACTGAGACTCAGGAGCCTCATAGGGCATGGCTGACAGAAGCCAAGGCTGTAGGCTCCACCCTGAAACTCCGCCCCATCCAAGCTGAACACAGAGACTTTTAAGGGTACCAACTCAGGGAAGCTGCGAAAATGCCGAGACAAGGAAACAAATCACAAATGAAAGAAATGGAGGACAAAAAGTGACTGGATATAGAGTTCAAAACCACGCTTATAAGGTTTTTCAAGAATTTCCTAGAAAAGGTCGATAAGACCTATGAGGATATGAAAGGGATCAACTAGAAATAATAAGGGATCAACAAGAAATAATAAGGGATCAACAAGAAATAAAGAATACATTGTCTGAAATAAAAAATATTATACACTGTCCAAGACAATCTCTTCAATAAAGGGTGTTGGCAAAAAAAATGAAACAAGACCAGCTTACACCATATACAAGAATAAACTGAAAATGGATAAAGACTTAAATGTAAATCATGAAACTATAAAAATGCTGGAAGAAACCATAGGCAGAAAAATCTCAGAAATCTCTCATAGCAATACGTTTGCAGATACAACTCCTAAAGCTAGGAGAACATAAACAGATGTGACCACATTAACATAAAAATCTTCTGAATAGCAAAAGAACCCCAAATAGCCAAATTATCATATAAAGAACAAATTGGAGGACCCACATTTTGTAATTACAAAAAATGCTACAAAACTACAGTAGTCTAAACAGTGTGGTACTGAAATATAAACAGACATACACTGAGTGGCCTGATTATTATGACCTCTGAACACACACACACATATATATATATATGAGGCCCAGTGCATGAAAATTCATGCACTGGAGGGTAGGGTACCTCAGCCTGGCCTGCCCTCTCTCATAGTCCGGGAGCCCTCAGGGGCAGGAGGCAATCTGGTGATCAGGGAAAGGCAACATCTCATCACACCTCTGCTGCTGCCACTGTCGGCAGCACAAGCCTCGTCCCGCCCTGCTTACCTAAGCCTTGGCCGGCCCTGGGCAGCTGGGCAGCCACCATCCAAGGCTTGCCTGTGCCTCTGGCCAGCCCTAGGTGGCTGGGGCACTGAGGGGTCTGGGCACTACCATCTTTGAGGACAGGGCAGTCAATTAGCATATTCCCTCCTTATTGGCTGTGGGTGCCACCATCTTTGCAATGCTGTGAGGGTCAATTAGCATATTCGCTCTTTATTAAATAGGATATATATATACAACTCCAAGTGCTTGAATTTGTGCATGGGTGGGGTCCGGCCAGCCTGACCAGGGAACAGGGGACATGGGCAGTTGGCCAGCCTGCATGCTTGTCAAACTCCTGGTCAAGGGAC